TTGTAGGCCCAGTCACCATAGCACGAGGGGAAGGACACTGCTGTGCTGTGTTTGAGGTCACAGAAGCGAGCTGGGATCAGTTCCAGAACCAACCTAAATAGGCAGGGTGTAGTGGCATGTGCCCATGGGCCTGAGTAACTGGGAGATTGGGGCAAGGATATTTTGGCATAGCAAGGTCCATTAAAAAACATTTCTTTCTCACATGCTGTTTTTCTCTCCCTTGTGCTCTTTCTCTTATAGAAAATAAAGAAAAGAAAAAAGAAAGAAAAAGATAACCTGTCATCCAGAAAAGTCATTACCATGAGTAAAAGGTGAAGCCACAGAATTTCAGATTTCTTAACACACATGTCTGAAAATTTTGATATCCTGAAAATTTTGATATCCAGAAACAAATCAAAAGGGTCAGGCAGAAAGACCATTAGGAAAATTAGCTGATTATAGACACATATGGGAATGTCAAAAAAATGAACCTTGGAATGGACAATAAGCATATGAAATAATACTCCATTTTGGGGGGGATATCAAATAAAATCACCATTTCATGAAATCACATATCCACCAGAGGTTAAAATGGAAACAACTGACAATTCCAAGTGTTGGCCAGGTTGCCCAATGCCCAGAGACATCCCATTTTGCTGATGTGAATGTACATTTGTACAAACATTTGAGAAAACTGTTTGACAGGGGCTCCTAAAACTGAATCAACCCAAAATACATGACTCAGCAACTACCTCCAAGTGTACACACAACAGAACTTATACATGTGTTTTCCAGAAGACACAGACAAGAGTGTTCTCAGCCAAAAAAAAAAACACCCACTGGAGACAACCCCAGATCCACTGACCCATCAACAGTACCATGGACAAAGAGGTTGCCGTATGTTCACACAATAGAAACCACTAAGCAGAGAGAGTGAGTGCACTACACCTCTGCGTGAGCCCCCGGGAAACACCCCCCAAGCATCAGTCAAGCAAATAAGAACTGGAAAAACTGAGACATGGTGGTTTGGGGTTTTTTTTGTTTTTTGCTTTTGTTTTATTTTTTGGAGTGAAGGATAGTGGTTGCCCTTATGGAGGGAAAGTAGAGGAGAGGTAAAGAGGAGGCTTGCTTTGAAAATGTTTCAGGCTGTACATTTGTGATTGGCATATATGTCTGCATGTAGGTTATGCTTCAATTTAAACATTTTTATGTGAACATTTTTAGGGAACGGCTCTGCTTAGAAATTGCCTTTCTTTGCTGTGAGGGGCCTGAGGCACAGGCCGTGCTGTCTGATTCCAAACCCTAATATCCTGTAGCATAGCTGTGAGCAAATGAGAACTTGCAGCAAGAAAGACTAAGAGCTTGGGGCTGAACTCAGGGAACTAAATAGCAGAGACTACAAACCCCCAAGGCTTCTCCTCTTTCTAAGAGCTCTCATCAGCTCTGCCTTCCCACAGTAGGAGAAGCTGGCCTAGACAACTCCTAGCCATGCATTCTGTACTACGCCTTCATTTAAGTTGCTGAAAACCATGTTCTCCTTTATCCCTGCTCTTCCCGTGAGTTCTCACTTAGCAATTGTCTTTACAGCAAGAGCACTTTAACGTGTCCCATTCTGTGGACTGATAGTGAACAAAAAAGAAGGATCAGTAGACACTGAACCTCATCTCAGTGAAGAGAAGACAAAGGTCAATATAATTTCTGTCTGACTGATGGGGACAGTCACCTCCGAAGGTGCAGATGGAGTGTATCCTGTCAGTTTGGATCACTGTAACATAATTCCATAGACAGTAATGATAAACCATGGAAATTTACTGTGCATGGTTCTGGGCGCAGGGAAGTCCAAGATCAAAGTGTCAGCAGATTTGGTGATTGATGAGAGCCTGTTCCCCACAGAGTGGACTTTGTACCTGTCTGTATATGGCAGGGGAGCATAAATGTCCATTAAGCCTCTTTTATAAAGCATGAATCTCATCTATTAGAACAGAGCCCTCCTGAGCTAACCAATGCCCAAAGGCCCCAACTCTTAATACCACCAACCTAGATGTTAAGGTTTCAAAACAGAAATTTAGAGGTGCCACACACCTTCAGAACATAACAGAATGATAATGGGAAGTCCATTTCTGGAACCAATTTTCCAGTTAAGAAATTTGGCTTATGTAAGTACAGGTGAGCCTTCAATGACACAAATTGGGATAATATTCTTAGATCGCTTTGTGATGGCTGGCCTCTAGTACCTATCTTTCTCTAGGATGAACAGACACATTGTATTCAAAGAATACATATATGAGTCAAATAACAATGACTCGAATTTACATTTTGGGGTTGAGGGTGGTTCCTAGGGAGCTTTTACCAAACCTAGCTATCCCACAGCCTCCTGCAGCTCAGAATTGCTGCGGCCCTCTGTACATAGAACTGCTCTCTGGGTGGGTGAGTCTCCTGTGGAGCCCGGGGGGGGGGGTGCTGTGGTCTGAACACAGTGTATCCTGAGGCCAGGCTATTGATGCTCGACTCATCAAAGGGTCTCTGACCCAGGGGACACTCTGCCTTATCTGGCTCCTTCTGCTTCAGTCATATCAGGATAACCCTGTGACCAAGGGCCACACTAGGGAGAGGCTGGCAATTAGGCCAACCCACTTATTTCTCTTCTCCCAGAAGAACCATCAGGAGAATGCCAGATGCCAAAAATGGCTAAAGATGATCAAAAACTGGCCAAAATATGACCCCAGCAGGAAGGATAGAGTGGAGAGCGTGGGATCCCTTCATGACTACTTTGTCAACAGAAATAACTGAGCTCCCTAGAAATAATTACAAACAATTCATTCTAAGCATGAATGTGAGTGACCAAGGCCTGGAAACATAATCTCTGGTAGCCCATAAAACGTGTTTCAGGGTGCTTAGATACAGTGGCTCTTTTATTCTATTCTGAGAGCAGAAGAAACAAGCGAGGTTATAAATCAACGTATGGGTCCTTTTCACATTGGCCAGGCCCAAAAAGGCAGAACAATCAGAAATAGGGACTTACAGATTACAGGTAGGATTAGAAATTCCTAGATTATTAATTGGTTAAAAGAATAAGCTTTTGTCTCCAAAAGACTGAGTCAACAGAACAAGAATGAAATTAACAGGTAAGAAGTCGTTACACAATGTTGTACCAGGGACAGGATGCGAGGACCATCCCACAATCACTGGGTCAAAGTGGTCTGTTGTAGCAGGATTAATGTTCACAGACATGACTCGCCTAGGTCTCTTGGAAAGAATCTTAGAATAGGAAAAGCAGTCAGAAATCTGCCTGAAATGTTATGCACAGTGACGGAGAGAGTCCCCTATCTCAGCAGCAGATAGCACCCTGTGTCCTGACCCTGAAGGACAGCCTGCCTCGGTCCCCAGCTTCCTGACACTCAAGGATCACTTTGCTGAGAGATAATCTGACACACGGCTTGGGTTCTCTTCGTTCCAGGGAAAGGGAGCCCCTGGGTGGCTCCCAAGGGAGGAATCAGAGGAATACATCAGTATCAGAGTACCCATCCCTGAGTCTGTCTACCCATTAACTACAGAGATGGGGCCCAGTTTTCAGGAGACCCGACCCCTGTCTAGAAACCACAGTGTCAAAGGCTTCCATCTTTATCATGCTTCAGGTGATCTTCTCCCCAGGGCAGCTCCCCCAGGGCCTGTCTCTCCAGCGTGCTCCTCTTTCCCATAGATGTATATTCAGGTCTGCAAGGGGATCCCCTGCAGGTGTGGAGAGGACAGGTGAGCTCACTGCAGTAGGATGTGAAGAGGTTAAGGCTGAAAACCCAGGGAGATACTGACAGGCCACTCCGGCAAGAGGAGAGGGTGAGGACTAGGTAGAGGTGTGGCTGCTTTATGTCATAGCAGGACCTTGGTCTTGGGGAGAGGAGAAGGAGGCCTGAGTTGGGGTGTCTTAGCCTGTATTTATTTACTGGGGTGGACTGGGCAGGCTCCGGGGCCTTAGGTGTCCCCACGGGCCTGATCAGCTTCAGGATTGCTGGGCACACAGGTCATGTGGGGCCTCCGGTGACCTAGGCACCAGGGACACCCTCTGGGTTTAGAAGGAAGACATTGAGCTTTATGAGGAAAAAAAAATCACTTTCCAGCTAGAAGGGCTGACTTCATTATTAGAAGTGCTGTTTGTGGGGCCAGCAGGTAGACTCTCACATGGCCTACCAGGATTCACTCCGACTCAAAAGTTTGAAACTCAGACTGGGTGTGTGTGCGTGCATGCCCAAAATCCCAGGAGCAGAATGGAGGAGAAGGGGATAGTGGTGTGGCCATCCCTCCAGGGGTGTTATTTCTCACTTTCTCTCTCTCTCCTCTCTCAGAAAGTCTCTCTCTCTCTCTCTCTTCAGTGAGCATATGTTCCCTATAGCAAAAATCTCTCCCAACAACAAAACTCTTTTAAAAAAATAATAAAGTGCTGTTTGTGACAGTGAATCTTCTTTGGGATTTAACCAGGCTCCTCCTTGACCGTGGCCTATAGAAAATGAAGCAACACAGGAAGATGTTCTCAGGAGAAATAGAGCAGGTCGACCAGAACCGGAGCTGCACTTCCAGGAACCGCGCTAGAGCAAGGCCTCTGGGTCTACGGGATGCAAGCGTCCAGGGAGAAACTTGGTTGCGATCAAGAGAGAGAAGTGGGGTCCTAGGAGGGACTGAGGGTCTGGTAGTCAGGAGTGACACCAGACACGACTCTCCCAGCGCAAGGAGGAACCACAACGGGTACCGAACACCCTGGCACCAAGCCCTGGGTGCAGAGGGCAGGTGGGACAGACCCAGGGATCTCCCGAGGTTCAGACAGCAGCGAGCAGAGTAGTGCTGCACGATGAAGAGGCTCTCGAAAGCCTCATGGACCGGGAGCTGGAAACTACTGGAAGGGCGTTATGATGAGGCGCTCTGGGGAGTTAACGTGCAAGCTGAGACCTAACGTTCCTGGGGAGGGCGGTGAGGCAGGCAGAAAGTCGTTGGGAGGGAGGGGGCCCTGGGAGGGCGGGGCCAGGGTGTGGCCAGAGGTGGGCGTAGCCAAGGCGGCTCAGGCGACCAGGACATATTCTGAAGGAATGATAGTAGAAACATCAAAAAGATACCCAGTTTCGTTGTGTTTGTGTATTTCTGCATTTTCACTTTGCAGGTGAAAATTATAATGTAGTATGGGTTTGCAACATACACAGAAGTAAAATGTATAACAAAACAATCACACAGATTGGGAAGGAAAAATACAAGTATGCTGTTGTAAGATTCGTATCCTCTACGTGAAGTATACCACAGTCCTTGAAAATAAACTATGATAAGTTAAAAAAAAATCATTTTAAAAAGATAAAGAAGTTAGTAAGACAGACCTCAGTTTCCATGCCCGGGTCCACAGTAATCATGCCTGTCTAGTCTTCCTCCAGCCTCACTCACCCATGAGTGAACTCAGCACCAAATGTTTCAAGTGAATCTGAGACAGCTGGTCTCTCAGTATCTGTATCTTTAGGAATTTTAATTCTTATTTCATACACAACCACGATACCATCATCTCACCAATAATATTCATGACAGTTCCTCATCCAGTCTGAATTTACACTCCCCAAATGCCTGACACTGTGAACCATTGGTTCCTATAAGAAGTCCAAGTTTCTACCAAGTACCTGGGAGTAGGAGAAACCACGGGCTGTTGGAGGAGCCTCCACAGGAGGGCAGGAGTCCCTGGTCTGTAGACAGATTTGGATAAACACAGGTAGCCAGTGGGAGGAGCATTTCCAACTATATCAAGAATGCAGTGTTGTTGTGTGACTAGAGGTACAGCTGGAAGCTCCTCAAAGACCCTACCTTAGAGAGGTACTCTCAGATAGAAGAGATGGCCAAGAAGACAGGCCCTGGCCAGGTCTATACAGAGGAGGAGCCTGGTGGTAGGGCAGGATCCTCCCAAAGAATACCCCTGTGCCTCCATGAATGTACCACCTCTCATTTCTCCTGCATAAGACGCCAACTCTCCTCCATCAAGAGGGAATTTGTGTTGGGACCAGCAGATGGCATAATGACTGTGTCGTTTGACTGCTATGTAGTTGACTGCAGTTCAAGTCCTGGACCCAGTGCCTTAAATTCACACCAGGCGCATGTGCATGTGTGCCCAGGATCCCGAGAGGAGAATGGAGAAGGGATAGTGGCATGGCCATCCCCCCTGGGGGGTGATTTCTCGCTTTCTGTCTCTCTCTTTCCTTTTGGCGAGCGCATGTGCCCTATAGCAAAAAAATTTAAAAAACTAAAAAAAAGGGGAATTTGTGCCCCCATTTCTCCACTCTGGATGGGACTCTAACCAGCATCAGCCCTTTGTGTATGTGGCTATGATGTTGTGACCCCTGAGCTGGTGCAGAGGTGACTCAGCCTCCAAATGGCATTTTCACTCGTAGCACCCGGAGACACTACAACAATGTCCAGCAACCTTCAGCCAACCTGCTGCAAAGACCAAGGACAACGGAGCACAGGGCCCAGTGGCTTGGAGAGTCTCACATGTGAGTGAGGTACCTTCATGGGATTTCAGCCTGAGAGCCACTCCAGCTGCCATGCCCTTCCCAGTCTTCAGATTCACAAGCGAAATCAGTGATGTTCCACACTAGGGTTGGCCAATGGTCCCAACAAGGGCCAGATAACAATAGTAAATAATTTGGACTGAGTACCACATAGTTACAAGTGGGACCACTTAATCTGCTGTGTCCCCAAAAGCAGCCATATTCAGTTTTTGAATGAATGGAATGGGTGTGGCTTCATTCCATCTTACAGACACATGGGGCACAGTTGGTCCTAGTTTTCTGACTCCATCTTAAACCTCTAGCTTTTTCACAGGATGAGGAGTATCTAGTTTGCACCGTTAGATAACCAGGAACCTAAAATAGGTTAAGGTCGTAGAAGCTGATGAAAAGGTGACACTGAGACCAGCAGTTAGTGTAATGGCTATGTCGCTGGACTCCCACGTAGTCGACTGCGGTTCGCGTCCCAGACCCGGTGGCTTAAAACTCATGCCGGGCGCGTGTGCGTGTGGGCCCAAAATCCCAAGAGGAGAATGGAGGAGAAGGGATTGTGGTGTGGCCATCCCCCCTGGGGGGTGATTTCTCGCTTTCTGTCTCTCTGTCTCTCTCTGTCTCTGGTGAGCGCACGTGCCCTATAGCGAAAACCTCTCAAAAAAAAAAAAAAGGTGACACCTAAGCTGTAGGTTTGTCAATAATAGAGAGGATAAAAAATCACCATTGCATTGACCAACATGGAGGTTGTGGTGGCCTTGAAACCCCATCGCAGTTTCTGGCTAGTGCTGGGCACAAAGGAACAAAATGGCTTGAATAATAAATATTTAGTATTATTAATCAGACAACAGAAGTTCTGGAATAGAGACCAAGGTGGGGAAGAGTGATCCAGAAATGCAAGAGTGGTTCTTGCAAAAGTGCATCAACAGAACAATAGAAAAATGCAGATATCACCAGATACAGAACAAGCGTTCTTCTCAAGTCAGCCTCCATCCATGATAAACACCCTCAGTGAACTAGGTCTAAAAGGAAACATTCTTAACCTCATAAAAGGTTTCTGTGGTAATACAACAGCTACTTAGTGGTAAGAAATGGAATGCTTTGTCCCCAGGATCTAGAGCAAAACAGAAATGTTCCTTCTTACAACTTGTATTCAATACTACATGGGAAGTCCTAACTAGCGCAGTAAAAAAAGAAAATAAATAAAAGGCATATAGTTGAGAAGGGAAGAATAAAACTGTTTTGATTTACAGATACCATCATTGTCTATATGAAAAACCAAAAGAATTGACCCAAAACAAAACACTAAGTCAGGAAGCAGTAAGATAGTACAGCGAGGTGCAGGATATGAGGTCAATACAAAAGAGTTCACTGTATTTCCACATACCAACAATAAACTATTGTACTCTGAAACAAAATTTATTTAAATTAAAACCTTTCACTTTACAGACACTGTGAATGGAATAAAAAGAAAGATAATATGTGCAAATCATGAATCTAATAAAGGATTTATATCCAGGATATATAAAAATACTCTTAACATTCACTAAGAAGGAAACAATGACCCCAAAATTGGCACAAAATCTGAAAACAAACGTAATCAAAGAAGAGTATGTTTATATGTGGCAATTAAACATGCAAAAACATTTAATATGAAATAAAATATAACATAACCCTGCACACTGATTAGAATGGCTCAAATCCAAAACACTGACAATAGCAAGTGCTGTCAAGGATGTGGAACAATAGGAATTCTCGTTCTTTGATTGTTTGGATGCAAAATAGCATAGAAACTTGGTAACTTGGTAGCTTGTTACAAAAGCAAACATACACCTACCATATGATCCAAAATTGTACAGAGCTGTTTACCCAAAAAAATTGAAAACTTAAGTTCACATAAATTGACATACAAGATTTGCTGCTTTATTCATCATCATGAAACCTAGACGATCTTTTACAGTGGAATGGATATAAACAATCTGCATTTTATCCATTAAACAGAATCTGAGGATAAGAACAAGGCTTCAATTCACACAGAACATTAAACATATTTTGCCAAGTGAAGAAAGCCAGGCCTACAAAACACTCTGATTCCATTCATAGGACATTCCAGAAAAGGCCTGACTGTAGTTGGCAGGGCTAAAGCAATGGGAAGAGGTTGGCTACAGAGGGAGCACACGGAGGACTTGAAGACAAACCAGCTGCTCCTTTTGGGGCTGGAGTGGTGCACAGGAGACTCGACACAGTGGCTCTGACCCGTTGGACCGTGCCTCCCTAAGATGAAACATTCCTAGATGCAAGCTAAGGAAAATCCACTGGAATAAAAATAGAAATGTAATCAATTGTATGCATGAGATATTTTGATTTCCTTGCATGTAGAATTTACAAAATACTTGAAAGACGTTTGAGGATCCCAAAGATCTGACCTCTCTTGCAGATAATAGTGAAGTGGGTCTCTGTTTCCCTGTCAGAATTTTTTTAAGAGAGATTTTTTGTTGTAGGGTGCATGTTGCACTCACCAGAGACAGAGAGAGACACAGAGAGAGAGAGAGGGAGAGTAAATAATCCCCTGGGGGATGGCCATCCCTTCTCCTCCATTCTCCTCTCAAGATTTTGGGCGCACATACATACATGGCCAGCATGAGTTTTAAGCCACCAGGATAGAGAGCACTCGGACCTGGTGTGGGAGTCCAGCACCTTAACCACTAAACTACCTGCTGGCTCCTGTAAGGGTTTTTTTAGACACAAGCTCTAACAGCATGAGCATGACACGAAGAAAACCCAGTTTTCTCTATTTCTAGGCATCAGGCCTTGTTCCACATCCCCATGGCATCTTCTGCCTATGACACTGTAAGTACCCTGAGGCAATATCCCCAGGTCCTATTCCAGGAGTGGTCAGGCGAGGGCTCCCATGTCACAGAGATCTATGCCAAGAATGAAAGGGATGGCGGCCCAGAACATTGATCTTTCTGGATCTGACTTAGCACGTCTAGAGCAAGAAATGAGCCACTCTCTTGGGATGGCCCCAGACCTGAGTCTGGTCTGGGCACTGCTACAGGAAGCTCATCTGAGCACAGACATTCCCAGAGAGTGAAGTGTCCAGTAGAAACAGCCGAGAGCCTCACACTTGACTGTGGATCCTGGGGATCCACAGAAGAGTTCATAACCCTGACTTCCACTGTGGAAGACTGCAGGGGGCCCGGGTGGCTCCACCCCCTCAGACTATTCCCTTGAGAGAAAGCAGTTGACCTGACTCAGCGGGTGCCCATGGTGGGCTTTCAGCCCAGCTGTGCTCCTGGGCCTAGCAGCTGAACACCCTCCCAATTGCCTGGGTGTGGGGCAGTCAGGGACCCCATGGCCTTGCCGTGTCTCACTAATGGGCTCACTGTTTCTTTAATCTCCAAAGAATGGGACCCAAGTACAGTTCCTGCAAACCACAGGTCGGTGACACCTAGCCTGGCTCTGTGGCTCTCCCTGGCCTCACATTTCAGGGTAGATGGACTCCAAGTCCCTCCTTGCGTTGGCCAGTCCTCTTCAGAGTCCTTATGGCCTTGGGCCCAGCAGGAGTGACTCTAGGAGCTCACTGAGGACTGAGATGCACACTGACTCCCTGAGGTTCTGATGCCCAGGGCGTAGCAGGGGCACCAGGTCTACACTCTCCATCACCCTGGAGTCATGAGCAGGTGAGGTCAGCCCTGCCAGGTGATGTTAGAGTTTTTCCAGGGGAGTTCAGAACCCTGACAAGTGAGGAGAGAGTTTTTCCAGGTCAGGTGAGAGCCTTCCTGGGTGTGGACAGTCCTCATAGGTGAGGTCAGCCCTCCCAGAAGCTGTCCTTGCCCAGTAACTTTGGCTCTTACAGGAGGTGGGATACTGCCCAGGCATTAACCAATCACAGCTGTTCCACTCATGTATTTGGAGGAGGAAGATGCCTTCTGGGTGCCAGTACAGTTAATGACAAATAACAAGCATTCCACGCATGGTGGGTGGCTGGCTGTGGCCGGCGATGGCCACACTGACTGGGTGGGTGCACCTTCTGTTCCCAACAGGCTGCTGAGTGAGTGACCAGGACAAACTCCCTGTGGAAGGTCCCACAGAGCCAGGGCTGGCTGGAGACTTCCCACGTCTCATCTCCCCATCAGCAAGGGGCACTACAACCTCCCTGTGTCCATGCTTTGTGTCCTGCAGACAAAGTCTTTGGGCCTGTCCTTGACCAGGTACTTTACATCCCTGCTGGTCCATCTCCCAGCTGCCTGCTATGCCCAAAGCCAGATGAAGCCCAAAATGCAGTGTATCCCCTCCTTACTGCCCCACCCAAACTGACTGCTGATCCCGAGACTACCAAAATCCCTCCCTAACTGCACCTGCAGCTCAGCTCTGACTTGGCTCCCATGGCCCTCCCATCTGGGCCCACCCTCCTTCCCTGTTCCTCTGCCTGGGTCTCTCTGGGGCTGTGGCCCCTACCCCACTGCCTAACTGGGGGCGGTCATGACAGCCCCAACTGCTACCCAACACAAGTTGCTAGGGATGGGACTGGTGTGGGAGCAGATCCTTCCCAGGGGGCCCCTCTTGACCTGATCCCACTCACCTGTAGAACACCTCCTGAAGTTAACCCTGAATGGCTTGAGGGAGTTCCTCCAAGACTTGCTGCTCCATGTCTGGCCTTGGAAGATGAAGATACTGAGGCACCTCCAGGCCTCCATGACCTGCAAAAAATAACAAGTGGTTGGGCTCTTTGAAGTGGGCGGAAGCACACAGCCCCTTCCTCACCTACCCTGTGCATAGTGAATAGTGGGGCCTGCCCATGGCAACCCCAACATTGTCCCCCCTCTTCTGCCTTGAGAAGGTTCTGAAAACCAGACTTGGACTAGACCTCAGGGAAGGACCTGAAAGGCTGGTTTACTAAACATACCTTGGGGTACACCCATCAACCCCCTGGCTCCTTCTCAGCCTTGAGTGGGGGTATCTCTGCAGTCGGTACAGGAGACCAGAGTCTGGACCTCAGTCCTGCATTTTGGGCTCTGGAGGCTGGACTCAGACTGTCCTTGATGGGTGCAGCCCTGAGGGGGAGTGATAGCCCTAGGCCTGAGGACACAGAACCAGGCGCACATCTTGAGAGGAGACCCTGTCTTTGCCCAGGGCTGTGCCTCCCAGCTGACCCTCCACCAGGCCAGTCAGCCACTGCCCCCTTGGACACTCAAAGGACACCAAGCGTGTTCCCAGCTGCACTGGACCATATGGACTGTGCTCAGGAGCCGAGGATCAGGGGAGGGTGGGGGCAGTAAATGACTCCGCAGAGGTCCTCCTCCCCCAGCTTCTCACTCCTGCCCTCCAAGAGACCCCTGATAGGCATAGTGGCTGCCAGCCCAATCTGTCCAGGTTCCTTTCATGGAACAGCCATAGACCCTTGGAGAGCTTTAGGGGCCCCTCATTCCTGAGACCTGCGGGACAAAATTCCCAGCGTCAGGGGATGGAGAGAATCCTATCGGTGCCTACGTGATGAGACAGAGGGCAGAGGGGGATCCCGCAGGTGCAGAGGCAGACGGAGCTCACTGAATATGAGTGGCCTGGTCCTGGCCTGGAGTGGGTGTCCTAGAGGAGCAGAGACTGGGGCCTCTCTGGAAAGAGGCCCATGTGGGTCCCTTTCTGCTGCAATTACCAGATTCCTGAGGTTGGGTAATCGCAAAGCACAGGAATGGATTTCGCACAGTCCGAGAAGCCAGAAGTCCAAGATCAAGGCAGAGGTAGGTGTGGGAATTACTGATGGCCACAACTCGGCTCTGAGATGGTGCCTCCCCCGTGTCCTCATTTCGGAGAAGGTGGAAGGACAAAAAAGGCAGGGAGGCCTCCGTGTTTCTCATCAGAGAGCTAATTCATTCATTATTAACTAATTCATTCATGAATTAGCAGCACCACAGGGCTGAATCTCATCCCAAAAGACTCCCATTATTATAGTATCGCCTTAGACTTCCAGTTCAGACATACAAATTTTGGAGGGACACATACATTCCATCTTGTCACTCCCATGTTAGGTAGCCGGTAGGTCAGGGAACTATTAAGAGCACTGTGGCCCTGAGTCAAGGTCAGGTAGTCCCCAAGATGAGCAACTGAGGCAGGGAGCTCAGAGACAGCCTGGCCCGTGTGGGGTCATTCCAGGAACAGCGTGAGGTGCCCAGATGGCTCCCTGGCTACTCACACCCTTCTCTCGGGGACCCACAGCCTAGAAGTCAGTTCCCAGTATCAGGCCAGGGGGCCATGCAGCGATCCAATTCTGTTGGGCCCAGCCTGCCAACCAAATGGGCTGCATGAAGAAGCTAACCCAATCTGTTTCCCTTCAGCACCACCAGGAGGCGTTCCATATGAAGCCTTTGAGCCTCTAGGGCTAGAGCAAGTGCCTCCTGGGCCCAGGCCTGTCCGCAAATCTCTGAGCACCAAAATGACCCGTAAAGTAAACATGGTGGTCCTCTCCATCCTGCCTTATCCATAGGAGAAGCCCTATAGGGTTTCTAGCCACCCACAGATGACTCCTTTTCCAAGGTTCTTCTTTCTGCTGACTGTTCTTGAGGAATAGCAGTAGAGTTATGAGGGGTCCTCCACAGAGCCCACATCCCAGGCCTCTTTCAGGGATCCTCAGAGGTTCCTAGTGTAACTCACCTGTCCAAGACATTCTAGAAAGAGGACATGGTGATCCTCTCCAGCCTGCCTGACCCACAGGGGAAGTTTTGCAGAGCACCTCACTACCCTTGGGTGACTCTTCCACGATTCTCTCCCTTGAAGACTACCTCTGAAAAGGAGTGGATTTATGAGCAGTCCTCCACAGAGCCTCCAGGTCCATCCTATCATCATGGGACTCACCTCCAACTACACTTAATGACCTGTAAGGGAGGGAGGACGCTGCTCCTGCCCCCAGAGTGAGGCAAACAGCTGAGAGCCTCCCAGCCATGCACTGATTTAGAGGCTTCCAGTTGATTGTGCAAAAGCCCAAAATGGAAGTGCAGAGGACTGGGTTACTGTCCCCCATCCTGCCAACAGTGAGGCTGACTTGGTGGGGCCCAAGTGTAACCAGGCCCTGGTTAGCCAGACAAGCTCCCTTCTGCTAAATTAAAAAACTGTTTTTTCTCTCAGCCTGATAGTCTTTGTTCAAGGTGTCTCACAGGTACTCCAAAGGTACAAATAGTCAACCTGGAGCTTGGAATAATGAGGGATGCTCTGCTGTAGCCACAAGCTGAAACACCTGTCTTTGACTGTAGCTGAGACTGAAACTCCTGTCCCAAAGAAAAGCTATTTGATTTTGCCCCAACTAAAAATTAACCTGATCTATGCTTTTCCATGCCTTTTTTTTTTTTTTTTGGAGAGGTTTTTGCCATAGTGCATGTGCACTTGCCAGACAGACAGAAAGCGAGAAATCACCCCCCAGGAGGGATGACCACACTGCAATCCCTTCTTCTCCATTCTCCTCTCGGGATCTTGGACATGCACCCACACGCACCCGGCATGAGTTTAAGCCACCGAGTCTGGGACTCGAACCACAGTCAACTACATGGGAGTCCAGCGACATAGCCATTACGCTAACTGCTGGTTCCCACCTCCATGCTTTTTTTATAGATGGCTGTAAGCCACATAACATTCCCCTTCCACTATAAAACCATGTGTAAATCAGCTAAGTGAAAATATTCTTACATGTGTTCCCAGTGAGGCCACATTTTGTAATACATTTTTCTTTCCTCAACAATTGTGCCTCTCTCTGTTTTGTTGAGCAGCAAGGAGTAGGCCTGCTTCGGGTCCCTGGACTAAAGGTGTAGAGCGTCTTGATGGATAACACAAGCAGATAAATGCCACCTAGCAAAGGCTGCAGGCCCCATGGGTGCACTGGTTCATTTAATATATATCTACTGAGAGCCAATGTCATTCACTATATTAAAAGATTAGAAAACAAAATGTCATCTTTCATAGATTGGGATGAATTTAACGTAATCCAGTAATCTTATGACAATTTCAACAAACTAGGAATAGAAGGGAATTTCTTCAAACTGATGAAAGGTATTTAGAGAAAGCCCTATGACCAATAGGATACCATTTGGTGAGAGAGTGAACACTGTCACTGAAGACAAGCCGGGCCAGGGTGTTGTTGTCACCATTTCTGCTCTACATTGTCCTTGAGAGTCCAGTCATGTAAGTATGTTCCTTACATCAATGCAGATTTCCATCTGATATTTTGATTCTTCTGCCTGAAAGTATTTCCTTACACTTCTTATGAAACAAATCTATTCTGATGCATTCTTTCAGTTTCTTTTTTTTTTAATCTTAAAATGTTCATATTCCAGGACTAGCAGTTGGTTTAAAGGCTATGTGCCCTAATTGCTATAGGGTGCGTGCGCTCGCCAGAAAGACAGAGAAAGACAGAAAGTGAGAAATCACCCTGTAGGGGGGATGGCCACACTGCAATCCCTTCTCCTCCATTCTCCTCTCGGAATCTTGGGCAGTCACGCACACACGCCCGGTGTAAGTTTAAGTCACCGGGTCTGGGACTCAAACCTTGGTCGACTACACGGGAGTCCAGTGACATGGCTATTATGCCAACTGCTGGTCCCTTCCATTCCCTACATAGTCATTGCAGACATTGCAGTTTTCATCTCAAATTCGGTTTTAGGTCTACATTCATGTTTTCTATGTGATTTTTTAATAAGTTTTTGTCACAGGATGTATGCACTCACTGAAAAGTGAAATGGGACAGTGAGAAGGGGGCCATTCCCAGGGGGAATGCCCACACCACAATCTCTTCTCCATTCTCCTCCCAGGATCTTGGGCATGCATGCATACATATCCGGCATGTGTTCCAAGCCACCAGTTGGCCATGTAGGAGTCCAGCCACATAACCGCTGTGCTTTGGAGTGTAAGTATGACACCTGTTTTCATGTCTTGGTCTGTTATTCTATCATTTGTCTGTTGTATATAAATAACAAGACTAGCCTTTGTCCCTGGCTCCTGGAAAGAAGACTAACTTCTGAAATTTTCTGAGTAATAGGGATGTCTTTATTACTCACGAGCCCCTTGGATTAACATGAGTTGATGCTAAGAGATGAGACGACTGAACAGGGTCTGATCACCACAATGATTACTTAAGCTGTGTATGTACACAAATCTATCCATATTTCTGTAAGTAACCATCTGCACCCCATACTCAGCTGAACCTGAGATCATACTGAGGTCTCCAATTCATTACCACAGGGAGCTTTTTAGACCCTCCCCTTGCTTTCTTGCAAATTCCCACTCCAAGAGGCAGAAATTCATTTTTCAGCACTGACTAACCACTTACTTCACTGTCCAACCACTTACTTCACTGTCTGGTTTCAGTGCACCTCATATAGCTACACAGGAGCTGGGAGTAGGGTGTAGCACTGCCACGGGAAACTATTCTCAGCTAGAGCCCAGTGTTAGGTACTACAGCAATGCATCCTCCAACCCAGCTTCAAAGTTTCTCCCTGTCACTTCTGATATTCTTTTCCTAAAAAGTTTGTCCCCAGTTCTGCTCATACTGAAAAGGTCGGGAGCCAGGCCCTACCTTTATAAGAGCAGACAGCATTTAGGCCATAGCTTACACCTACTCCAATACTGAAAGGGCTGGAAGCTCTTGGAATAGAAAGAATGGCAGTCCCAGGTGTACTGTCTCCACGTGCAATGGACTGTTTCTAGATTTATTGTCTGCATGTACAATGGACTGCCTCTAAGCCATCCGCCAGAACCCAGGCACTACAGTCCGAGTGCATGGCAAGGGTCTGCGTCCTCCCAGGACCCAGTAACATACCAAGAGCTATTTCTCAATACCCACTAGAGCCTATCTCAACCTGATAATTACAGCTGAAAACTCTGGAAAGAAAAAAAAAATAAAGTAAACCACAGAAAGTGAGTGAGAGGTCAGAAGATAAAACCTGAGAAGAAGCCACGGGCCTTCAGGACAAGGTTCCACATGGCTACTGTGAACTAGACTTTTAAGGGAATGAAGATTTTCTACTAATAATTCAGCCTCCAACAAACGAGCTA